GACTTATATCAAAGAATTTTAAGAAAACTGCCACCATTTGAAGGAATGACTGTAATGACTTAACCAAGGCTTTATGAAGATTTGTCCTCATAGAGCTTGCCAGGACTATTAAGTAACTTCGGTGATAGCAATCAGGTCACAAAGAGAGGGCTTGGGCCAGGGGTGGGGTCAGATGGGGGGGTGAAGTAGTGTCAGGGGAACAGGAACAGGAAAAAGAGGTGATCAAATTCTTTTCTTGTGGTGGATCTTGGTTTTGAGAGTAAAACTTTGTTGCCCTCACTGCCATCAACTCAACAACTCTATATTTATGCTTCTCCGTGTGGCTTGAATTCTTATGTAGATTCCAGGCTTACTGAGAGAGGCACCCTAAGATTCTCACCCTTTCTTTCACTTCTTAATAATAATAGATTTTTGTGTGTGTGTGTGAGGAAGATCAGCCCTGTGCTAACATCTGCCAATCTTCCTCTTTTTTTGCTGAGGAAGACTGGCCCTGGGCTAACATCCGTGCCCATCTTCTTTCACTTTATATGGGACGCCACCACAGCATGGCTTGACAAGCGGTGCATCGGTGTGCACCCGGGATCCGAACCGGCGAACCCCAGGCCGCCACAGAGGAGCGCACGCACTTAACGGCTTGCGCCACCTGGCAGGCCCCAATAATAGATTTTTAAAAAGCCCATCTACCTGCAACCTTCTCTGTGTGTGTGTGTGTGTGGTGTCTGTGTGTTCCATAAATCTTTAAATAGGAAAGAAAAGCATAACCACCTACTTTGGGACTCAAAAAATAGAGCGCAAATGGAAAAAATGCATTTATTTATAAAAGAAAACAATGAGTCACTTGAACAACACAATTTATTACGACCAAATACATACTGGGCACTGTCCGAGGCACTTACATAACATATAAAGTTGTTTTTGGACTCCTAGAAGAGACCAATGGACTCTTTATGTTACCATCTTAGATGTGTTCATCTGCATGTGTTTAAGTTTCTACTAACACATACATGAAAGTTTGTGTAATTTACAGAGGTTAGTTGTTCCTGGGTTGCTCAGTTGTACACTTAATCGAGCCTTCATCTTGCAGGATATATAGAGAAAAATGTCGTTGCCTGGAAAGCCCTTCCACTTGGGCATTGATGTCCCACATAAGTCAATGGATTGTAGGGGACTTCACAATCACCGGTTTGCAAAACTGATAATAAACACCAGTTCTACTAGAAAGAGAAGGAATCTACCTTCACGGTGTGTTCCACCCGCTCTTCACCCAACAAATCCATGGAGAATGGATGGGTACACCTGCTGCCATTCTATAGGTGGAGAAATTATCTTTGACTCTGAGATTTGTACTTACAGTGTTTGAATAAGGCCTAAATACAGTGAGTTCTGTCATGTGTTGTCGTGACTCATGCCACCTAAAAACCATTTCAGAGTCAATTTTAGTGAAGAAAATCTGCCAGCAGATTGGTAATGTCTTCCAAATTCTTAAGCAAACTTTGTGTTGAAAACTGCTGAAAGAAATATAACCACATGCCTTTCAAATGAGACCTCTGGAATTGAGGGACATAAAGTGATTGCCAAGTGTTCATGATGCCCCCTCCCCTACTTAATAAAGGCACCTATATTTCACCAGAAATAAAATTTTATTAGTAACATGTCAAATATGTTTTAAAATACAGTTACCTTTTTTCTTCCTCTCAGTTTAAAAAACAATCCAATAAAAACTCTAAATCATGACCCAAATATTTTTAAATGTGAAAAAGACATATTTTAGATTATGTAACAGATACACATTTTCCCAAATAAATGAACACCATCTGCTTGATATTTGGGTGCATTCCCACAGAACTAAATTTCTGCTGTTCTCCTTTCGTTCATGGTTTATAACAAATTTATGACACTGTATTTCACAATAGCTATACCAACAATTTATGACGGAAGGAGAGCCTGACAAAAATCACTTGGCATGCTCCAATTAGACAATGTATGGGACTCTCTCATTTACACCAGTCCTCCACCCCTGACTCAGAGGTCGACAACAGAAGAGAAACAGGAAGTCCATCTCCAGGGGAGGATCCCTCATGGAATGAAGCTCAAGAAAGAGTTCAAAACAAGAAGTTGAAGATCTAGGCGCCATTTTTCAGCTCAGGTTTACCAAATTCTTCAGCCCATGCAGCCACCCATAAGTCTGAATTTAATATAGAATGTTTTTATAAGATTTTCTCAAATTCAGCCAAACAAGAAATTGCCAACTTCTTGTTAACTGAAGGTAAATTTCACCTTTGCTCTAATGTTACCAAACGTAGCACCCTCCTCTGGGTATAATCAAGGGGAAAAAATCAAGAAGAGAAATTTACCATGTGTCATTTTATGACTGATAAGAATGGTACATGACTATATCCATGTTCCTTTTCTTCACTTAATGTAGATAAAATTTATGAGAAAGCATTTTCTATACAAAATATTGTAGTATTTGTGACCAATTTGGGAAACCAGTTTATGATATTTTCTTGCCTTTTATTTCTTTAAAAAACAAAATTTCTGTGGAAAACAGACATGAACACATATTCTTTGAAAGTAGTAAGAATATAGACTTGAGTGTATATTTCCATTCTCAAGGTGATGTAAAGCCTCGCTACTCAAAGTGTGGTCAGTGGAGCAGCAGCGCCCACGTCACCTAGGAGACTTGAGAAATGCAGACCTCAGGCCCTATCCCAGACCTACTGAAAGGAATCTGTATCTTAACAAGATCTCCAGTGACTTATATGCACTAGAAGATTTGAGAAGTGCTAATGTAAAGGAATGTTCTTTATACCAACTACAGAGTAATCCTTGGGGACAGACAGAACTACTTTAATGCAGAAATTTTGTCCAAAATTCTCCACCATGACTGTAACAACTTTTAGACATGATCTACTTCATAAAGAAACAAAAAGCCTGAAATGTGTCACATTGCTGATGTATTGTAATAAGTTTGAGAATGGGAAAATGTAAGTTAAAATGTCATATATTACATAAATATTCATGAACTTCTTGAACTAATTACACACAATCTTCCATTGTTTCCAACCTAGGTATTTTCTTTAGCAAAACATATACAATTGATAACTGTTACAGTGAACTCTAGAAACGTGAAGATTACCTTAATAGACAATTATTTAATGACTAAGTATAGTAGTTTTAAAAAGAATTGTATCAAGTAATTGTGATGAATTCTAGTTTGATACACTCTGGAAACTCTTTCCCAAAGGAGTTCAACCAGTTCTGCAAATTGTTGCTTTCTTCCAAGCATTTTTGAGCAAATCAGTAACAATGCTAGGGGGAAGGAGAGAGGATAGAGAATCAGAACCACAACTTCCACTTAGAGAGGACTGCAAAGACTGGAGGGCGGGCTGTGGTTCAGAGAGCAAGCCAGTGGGATAGGAGTATGGCTCCAGCAGCTGGTGCTAAGAAATCCCGAGGTTCATTTAAGCAGTTCACCAGCACAAGGCAAATTAAAGACAGCTGCCCTTCTAATCTTGAATACACTATATGCAAATCTCAGGCTGTGATTTCCCAATTCTATTTCTCCTTCAAGGTTCTCCTTGACGTTAATATTAACCTGACTTCCCCTGTAAAAGAACATGAAAGCTAGAGAGGTCAGGGAGAAGGAATTGTTCTGTACTTGTGCTTGTCTCCCTACCTCCCCTACAACCTCTCGTGCCCCAGGGGTGAGCTAAGGACAGCCACACTTCCCTTCTGCAACAGTGGCTTTCTATTATGCTTCCAAGTACACATAGGCTGCAAAGCAGAACGTACACTCTTTCTGCTCTAAGATCTGAGTCAATAGACCTTCCCTTCTCCCCGTGCATCTTCTTAGCCATAAATGCCTTCGGAGACATGTTAGATAACCAGCCCACAGTTTGGAAAAGAGAAATGCAGGCTCTGCTCCCAATAAAGAGCTTTTACCTTTTAAAACAAAACCAAACATCTCTGGGTTTCTCCTTCATCAGTGAACTGCTTGAGCAGAGGGACTGGGCATCATTCACCTCTGTATTGCCAACCCTGGCACAGTGCCTGGCTCATAGCAGTTGCTCAATAAATGGTGGAGAATTGCACTTACTTCCAAGCCCTCTAGCATTGTATTTACTAAATCTTAGGATATGCACTGAAATCTGATCATGCATTTGAGCTTATCCACGTAAACACAGGCTTACCATTTAGTCTTTCCTCCAACTTAATTTCTATTTGTCCTTTCTTATCTACCCAGAAAGCTCAATTTCAGGGATATTTCAGTCATATCACATCTCAGATAATACATATGCTGAATAGAAACTAGTCCTATGCACCATTGGTGAATGAAAGAAAAGATCAACGCATTGTGGATATCAGGGCGTTCGGTGTACAGCAGCCAAAAGGAAGCAAAATTGAGTATACCAAGCAATCAACCCCACCACATGAAACAACTTTCTCTTTCACTTACTAGTCCTGTTCCTTATTTCTCTGCCTGATTTTTTTCCTTCCTCATCTCTTTATTTTTCCTCTTCTATTTTATTTTCTTCTTCGTTACCAGGCCTTTAGGCTGTGTTTAGAAATATGTTCTAAACACGTATTTAAAATCACCCACAAGAGTGATCCACATTACCAAAGGCACTCAGATTTCCCATCCTATTTTTCTTACCCCAAGGATGGTTCTGTCACCAGAGAAAGGATGTCCAGGTTCAAAAAAGTTGTAACTGGTTTCCTACCTTTTGCCTCTCTCATAATAGAGCATGTGGGATGGGGTCAGCAGAGCAGGTCTATTTAGGGTCTCCCTATATCTCTGTTTGCCATGGTCAAACGACAGCAATCTTATTGGTTAGCTCAGACAAGTTTACCCAGCCTTTACATACACATTATTATTTTTTAAAAAGTCAAGATAACGTTAGTCAACTCCTTATCTATGAATTGTTTATTGGAAAAGAAATTAAATGCTCTAAAAGATATTTTTTAAATAACTTGTTTTGAAATCAACATATATTTAAAAAAAAACATATTCAAAAATACCTCTGGTTTCTGAGATAGTTCCTTGTCTACATATGAATGTATAGATCACAGAGCTCAATTAACCATGTCACCAAATAAAACAGACTTTACATCTGTTACTGGTTCATTGCCCATGCTTTGTTTAAGATTTCCGACATACAATAAATATTACAATTTCACATTTTCCTGGTAATTTTTTTCTCTCCCCCTTTGTTCTATTCCAAAGTATGTGCATTTCTATCCTCAAACAATTTCAACATGTGGCATTTTTGTAAGTCACATCTACTGGCACTGGTGTGCTTTTTTTAATAGACACTGTCCTAAACCAAGCCAAATGCTCCTTTCAGCAAAAAACGTAAAACTATTAGAGAGCTAATTCTATTTTTCAAACTATATGATAGTATAATTATCCTATCAAATCTGGAGTCTGTTCAATTAGGATCCCCATTGTTTAAGAAATCTACATTTTAAAAGAAGCATTCTGAGAAATAAGGTATTTTATAAATAGTGAAATAAAGTTTTTGAACTTTGGTGCCAAATTTTGCTCTTAAATTAATTTTTTAATATTTATATTTATATTTCAAAGTTATCTCACCATTCGTGCTAAATTGCTTTTAAAAATTAGCCTCAATTATAATTTTTCAGTTGGTTCTAAAGCATTTTTTCCTAATCCTAATTGAGCTATTCAAGATAAACCTGATACTTTTATCAATTATATATCTATGTGGTCTTCAACAATGTATGCTAATTAGGGCACCAATATTCTTTATATCAAAAGCATCCACGTTAATCACCCTGATGATTCATTAGAGGGAGCGAGTAGTGAATCACAACCAAAAGTAAAATTCTCTTGAAGAGAAAAGGGCTTCTTGGTTACAAGATAGTGTTCCATCAGGGAAGATACAATGTTGACAAGTCACCACATTTAAATTTGTGGAAATACACGATCACTGAAGGCCTGTGGTATCTTCATTTAAAGCAGTGTCCTTGATTATCATTATTACGTATAAAGTGCTCTGAAAGCACATTAGCAAGCAAATCGTTCCAAAACCCGTTAACAATGTTCTTCTACGTCCTTAGCAATCTTTCCTTTCGATTCTTCTCTTCATTTTCATAGTCTCTCTAACACTCATCTTTGGGTCTTTGGTATTTTCTTTGGCACCTAGTTTTCCCAATCTGTTTCATCAGTTAATGACAATTCTTTAAATGATATGCTCCATAGGACATGACTCTGGACATTGAAACCAGACAACTCACTCAAACCTCAAAGAACATCATGAACCATTTCAAACAATTTCAGGAATCTATCCAACTTGTTAAATAATTATCTTTCAAATCACAAAATACAGGAACTTATCTAAACTTCACCACCAAAAGCATTCTCAAACATTTTGTCAAATAGCGAATGGTCGACTATTATACAAAAATCAGTGCAAAGTTTCATCCAGGCAGCCTTAAATGCACTCTTTGATGAAGAAATAACATCATGTAGAATTTCTGTTGTTCTCATCAATTTTTGCAGATATGATTTTTTTAACTATCAGTCTATTAAAAACAAATTTTACCTGCCTACCCTTTTCCTGAGCTTCACAGCCTATAACAATGACATCATAAATAAAACTTAAACTCTTAACTAAAGGCCCACCACAAATTGTCACTGACCCCTGGAACTTAAGAGATAAGCCCATCTGCAAGGCTATTTTATTAAACTTCACTTTTAAAGAGAAAAGTCTATCAAGCCGAAAAAAAAAAAAAAATGGTAAAAGGGATCAGTTTGGAGTCATCTGGTTGTTACATTCAGCAGCTCAGTTGTGATGGGTTTGCCGCATCTTAAATTGCCGCTAACAGTAAAAGGAGAACAGCATCAAACGATTATTTGGCACAATGCTTGACAAGCCAAAGCATTTCAGCAACAACCTTCCCTTCTCTTCGTCATTTACAGAAAATTAAATTCCTTCCACCCTTAATCTTCAGGGACATGACATTATCAGTTCAATCTGTTACTTTTTGTTACTTTCCACTAAGAGTGGCAGAATTTGGAAATAAGGGGCTTGAAATGTTTAAATCTGTATAAGAACTTGATATAGGTCCTTTCCTACATGATTTATCTTAAAAAAAAAAAAAAAAAGACTTTGCTTCTAAAGTGCTTGTTTGCTGCCTTATACTGGGTGGGCATATTTTCAGTTTGACTTGCTGATACAAGGACTGCTGAGTAACAACCAGGACTCTCTCCAATCAGTTCCGTGTGCATCTCATCTTTGAACTGAAGTGCACTGGGAATTAGCGCCTTATGTTAACATCTTCACTATGAACAGTTCAGGCATTTAGAAACAAAGTATCAATGGACTTAACAGTTACTTTAATTCATTTTATAAATAAGCAACTGAGAATTTTGCTCCAAATGGCTGCGAGTGTAGCCCATTCCATAAATGGCATTCTCCGAAGCATAAGGCACAATATGATATGAATGCAGCTCTTCATAATAGAGAGACTGAGAGCAGCATTCCTGTACCATAAACTTCAGCCGTTTTCTTGTATCAGAATAAGCAGTCTTATAACAGGGAGCTTCTTTAAAGTATTCATAGCTCTCTTTCTCCGTCTCTAGATGTATCTTCCTCAGCAAGTTGTTAATTAACACAGACCTTCTTAAGTAGGTTTCTGGGTCTTCGAGAAACCTGAGCTTCTCCAGAGAAAGTTTGAGAATGCAAGTCCTGTCCTCAGGCAATATCAGGTGCTGGAAAGCAAACGCATTATTAAATCATCATTTAATGTACATTTAACGCATCATTAAATCTACATTTCGGAAAAATGAAAACCAGAGCTTTATGCTATTGACAAGACTCATAAAAATGAAAGAATAACAACAAATGAACCCTTACTTTTGGAAAATACCCATGGTAATCTTGATGTAAATCTTCTTCTTCTGCATATTTTCTCTTAAAGTAGGCTACTTTCGACGTTGTTAACGTATATGTTAATACTTTTGTTGGATAAGCTAAATAAAATAAAATAATTGGAGAAAAGTCAGATTTTATTGTAGCAAAGGGTATTTTATAATATAAATTCTACTTGTAAAAAGAAACTGGTGACCCCAGAAATTAATATTCTCTCTTTATTCACTAAGCAACATGGTGAAGCCGTCAGTGGTAATTGTCTTATGACTGAAAAGTCTCTGTGCAGGCAAATGCCACTATTAGACCCAAAACAGCTTTTCTATGTTGGAGAATTATATTTATTTCCTTATTCAGCCCCTCAGAAATAAAATACTTGCCAATGGTCTATTTAATTTTGTCCCATTTAATATCAAAACATACCCAAATTTGAAGTCGATTCACAAAATGTAATGGAAAATGTTACATTTGTGTGTGTGTGTGTGAGGAAGATCAGCCCTGAGCTAACATCTGTTGCCAATCCTCCTCTTTTTGCTGAGGAAGATTCCCCCTGAGCTAACATCCTTGTCCATCTTCCCCTATTTTGTACATGGGTGACCCCCACAGCATAGCTGACAGTGGTGTAGGTCCGCACCCGGGATCCAAACCTGTGAACCCCTGCCCCAGAAGTGATGCATGCCAAACTTAATCACTACACCACGGGGCCAGCCCCTCTCCTTTAAAATCCTATTGCTGTGGAGGATTCTGACTTGTTTAAGGATGGACAGCACTCTGAAAGCAGATTTGCAGAAAAGAAACGGTTTGGTTTAAAGGGAGTTCCGAGTGTGTCCTCTAGGTGGTGCTCATGTCACAGAAAAGAGGCAAGTTCCTCCTTAAAAGCAAAAGACAAGCAGCTTCCTAGTGAAGGCACTGAATGAACTTAGAACACAAATTGAGTCCCATCCAGGACTCATTCAACCTCAGGGGGCCAGACCAGAATGAAAGTTCACATTTAAACATCATCTATTTTACCCTTAATTCACACCCTCAAATATTTCTAGCTGTTTGAAACCATTTGATTCACAAAGTGAGTAGTTTATTAACGTGTTGTTTAAATAAATTTATGGTTAAGACATTTGATGTTTTTCCTCTAATGTCTTAAATTTTTAAAATCTTAAATATTAAAAATGTGCTCCTCAAGAACCTGCCTCTTCTAGTTTTTCCTTCAACTCCGTGGCATCTGTATAACACTTTCTGTGGCCTTTTGTAGCTGGATGGTTTTCCTAAACCAGTAAGAGAAGCTACAAAAATCACACCTAAAGCATTCCAAATTTTTGCTGGCACCACTGTGGATTATAAACCCAAGAGATCCTTAAATTAGAGTTGGCATGTTTTGTAAGGGAAATAATCTTAAAACTACTGGTGTGTCTGACCTAAAAAGAAACAAATGTGTAATGATAATTCACAATTGAAGCAAAGGCCATAGTGGCTACTATATGTATACAATCTCTAAATTCAATAAGCAAAACTCAGCTTGTATGGAGTTTTCACAGATTTCAAAGGTTAGAAAAAAAGAACAAAATTGACCGTATTGAAAACAAAGGAAGCATCACTGAACCCAGTGTTCTCAGGTGCTGTTTTTTAGCAAACTGCATTTTCTTGGGTGTAATTTTAAAGGTTAATCAAACAGTTGGGTGAAGTTTTGACTTATCCCGTGATGACATTAATTATTGTGACTGACTTCCTTTTAAATTGTTTAGTTGACGGCACAGTGGTTCTCAAATGCTGGTGAGCATCAGAACCATCCAGAGAGCTTCTTAACACACAAATTGCTGGGTCCCACCCCCAGAGTTTCAATTCAGTAGATCTGGGCCAGGAGCAGAGAGTTTACAGTTCTAACACATTTGCCGGTGATGCTGATGCTGTAGGCCTGGACCACGTTTTGAGAGCCCCAATGTTACACCATTAGGCAGGCGTGGTAGCAGAACTACGACAGCCAATCGAAAAGCAGAACATTCAGCCAATCAACTGATTGCCTTCTCATCAGAATGCCAAGCAATTGGCTTGATGGATTTGTGTTGTTGTTGTTATTGCTATTGTGACATTGGCTACATTGGCTTAGATGCTTTAGCATCAGCCACAAGGCAGCCTGAGTTTTTAACTAAATAGCAAAGAAAGAATGAGGTCACTTTCCAACATAAATTCCTGAGTTCAATTAAGAAATATCAATGGCTGTTATTAGCATTATAGCTGGACAGGTCACTGATTTTTTTTTTAAAATAAGGTACAATGAATTACTATAGTGTAGCAAAGGTTTGGAAATGAGAAGGGTGACTTTGCCATAAGAAAACACTATTTTCATATATATATACATATCTTTTTAAAATGTCTGCTCATTTTATTTTCCAAAGTAATGCAATGTCTACAGCATTTATGACCCATTAAAAACCTTTTAATGAATGATACAAGGGAGGGCGGGTGGCAGCTTGGAGAACCAAATGTCACATAAACCAAGTGATGATCTGGGGAAAACATTTTTTTCTAACAGATGAAGACCAAAAAGTTATACTAAAGTCTCCAAGGTTCGTAAAGATTCTATCTGGCTATATTCAAGCAGTTAGCCTATGATATAGAATGTATCAGACCCTGAAAACACAGTAAATTCTCAGGGGTCTAGATTTGTGTGTCAGCTCCACGGGCAACACACTTAGCCACTTAGTTTATTGCTCTTAAAAAACACCCCCATGTCTTGTTGAAATGCTGAAAAGCTTGCACAGCTGGTATTGGTTTGGCAATTACCTCCTTGCAGGCTGTTTAGCTATTTGCAATGTTTTCGGCATCAAATTTTGGAGGATGCTTTTAGCCACTTTGAGGCTAAAATATATAGCAAACATAAGTTGCTACATCTGTTTTCTTGGCTGGATTAGAACTGAAAAAATTCAGAGCTAGAAACTATCTATTGATCACGTGGTTCTGCCTCCAGAGTTTACAGATGAGGAAACTGTAGCTCAGAGGAGTTTGACGATTTACAGTCTGGGGGGTGGCTAAGAGTTTGGGTTTTTTGTTGTTGTTGTTGTTGTTGTTGTTGTTGTTTTGTGAGGAAGATCAGCCCGGAGCTAACATCCGTGCTAATCCTCCTCTTTTTGCTGAGGAAGACCGGCTCTGAGCTAACATCTACTGCCAATCCTCCTCCTTTACCCCCCCCCCAAAGCCCCAGTAGATAGTTGTATGTCATAGTTGCACATCCTTCTACTTGCTGTATGTGGGACGCGGCCTCAGCATGGCCGGCGAAGCGGTGCGTGGGTGCGCGCCTGGGATCCGAACCCAGGCCGCCAGTAGCAGAGTGCGTGCACTTAACCGCTAAGCCATGGGGGCAGCCCAAGAGTTTGGGTTTTGAAGTCAGATGCAAGTGGGTCCAGCTGTGCCACTTCTTAGTTGTGTGACCTTGAGAAAATTATATAAACTCTCTGCAAATCTCATTTGTAAAGTACGGATAGAAATAATACTGGTTCATAAGATCACTGAAATAATTCATGGAAAGTGACCGACACTGTACCTACCATATAGTAAGCACTCAGTCCACTCCCAGCTCTTAATAGTGCCAACAGGCACAGCTCTACCCCACAGAAGCAAATCCCAGCCTGGCCTCCTAGCTCTGACTCTAAGACTCTTTCCACCACCCTGCCTCCCAGAGATACTAGATTGAAATTAGAGAGTTAAAAGACTGCAAAAGAATGTTTCAAATGGTCTAGTTGAAAATATAGTACAGGTACTATAACAGCTCCAAGAAAATATTTCTTGATTTAGTGCTGCTTGTCATGCATTTTGGGTGAAGGAAATGTAAATTGTTTTTGAAACATCCTGATAGCCATTTGGAGAATTAAAGTTACTTTGATTATCCAAAGAAGTTTGCCTGTTGTGATCCTGTAAACATGTGTAAATCTGTTTCTATCATTCTCCCACGACTAAAAAGCGAAACTCAACCCAGCCTGTTATTCCAGTAAAGCTGATGAAATAGTCCAGAAAAAGTTAAAGGACTTTATGTCTTGTATTCAGTATCCTGAACTCTGAGAACAGCATATAAATTATAAAACTGAATTAGGCTAAACCTAAATTTATCTCTGAAGGTAAAATGGCTAATACTGGCTTGAATATTCAAATTGTTTTTAATGTTGTAACCTCTGGGTACATAAAATATCTGTGGCAGGCTCAATGTACTCTGTAGCGTAAAACTTCAACAAGCAACAAATTAAAAGTCATAGAACAGAATGACCAACCCTGTCATTAGAGTTCTGGCAGTACAATTTATACATATTTCTTTAAATAAATGTTTTAAATGTAATTACAAACAACTGCTCAAATGCTCTTCATTATTGTTCTGCTTCTGCCTCCAGACAACTGAAATCCTATTATTGTATGAGTGATTTCATTTGGTATGACCTAAGGGCAGTACATTAAGGAAAGATCATCAGCAAATTAATTTACAAACACTTTGAGAGAACAGACAATAATAAAAGAACAACTCTGTCGCAGTGATTCATTCTTTGTCCAAGACCATGAATAGCCTGAGAGATGGTGAAGCGTGATAAGTTAAACATATCTTAATTTTAGTAAGGTTTTCATTTGCTTCCCCACAACACTTTAATCAATATACTGCAAAAACAGAGTTGAAACCATCCTATAAGATGTGTGCGTCTGTACCCACAGACAACAGCAGAGTTTGATCAATGGGGAGAATAAGGTATGTTCTAGTCTCAAATCAACAACTGACTTGAGTTGTAGACAAAACATGGGCCTTGGCTTCCAGTCTCTCACTGATGTCCCTTTGTATGGGGTTAGCCTGGCATGAGCCTTAAAAGGTACGTGTCTCTTCCTAGCTAAATAATGCTTTGCTGGTGGCAAAGCTACTGGACATCCTTGCTTAAGGGCCATGACCACTTTTGTTTAAAAAGAACTATCCCCTCTGTCACTATTAGCCACATCCTGCAATCTTGCTACATGACTTACAACACTTCAGCCTGACTTTCTAGTGCTGCCCCACAGCACCGGTTCAAAGCCCAGCTCTAAGATTTGTTTATTTAGTGACTTTGGGCAAAGTATTTAACTTCAAAGAGCCTGAGTGTTCTCATCGATTAAAGGGGAGAACAATGTCAAACTCATTGAGTTGCATGCAAATTAAAGGAGATGATGTTTAAAAACCACTTTCTCAGTGCCTGTCACATATCCAAATATTTTCTGCTCAATACATGTTAGATATTATTATTGCAGTGACCTCATTTTTGAAATCATACATGTATATCCTATTAAGCAGTACTATGTTATACGTAGGACATTTGTCCTTTCTTTAGTATTAAGCAAGCACAGGTTGCAAGAAATATCCATGAGTGTATTCCAGAAGGTAGACAGGTGCAACATTCAAGGCTGTCATGATGCTCCTTCTGTGGGCCTTTAGCTTTGGTGATGTTTACCAATATTCCATCATTCTCCTCCCTCATAACTCCTCATCTAGCACCTTTCTGGATAATATGCTCTATGGGAGCAGAACTCAGTGCCAGTGTAGCTCTGAATCAATGGAGCAATCTATTTCTTCAGATTTATCATACACCCAAAGCACAAGATTGACTCTCCTGGCAGTTCAGAATTACCAACAAGTTGCAGCTTCTGGAAAACTTTCTTAGGAACTTCTAGGGATACTGACAGCCAATGAGTCAGAAGCGTTTCTCAAGAGACCAGCAGCATTGTCTGGTACTGGATGCCATGTTCCTCGGGATAGCCCCAAGCACAGGCATGGAATATTAAATAAGCCTATCTTGTTCCACTGGTGATGCCTCTGAACAAAGAGAACATCCTTAAATTGGATATGACCAGCCACATAATCATTAATTACCTTAGATGCTGTCTGATCCTGTTAATAATAGAGAACAATGGCAGTAGGTTTTGGGTAAACTTTGTGATTTACTGCCCCTCAGAAGTGCATTCCTTGTTTTGAAGGATGATGTTTCCTTTCATTCCACCTTTCGCCCTGGAAAGTGGGAATAAATCAGAAAGAAAATTGGCAAAGCAATCACATTGCTAGATACAGGTTCAAAGAAATATCTTACCAATAATGACTAGGGAGAGCTATATGTTGCTCAGAGAGGAGGTTTTCTTAATCCCTAATATGCGGATGGCAGTTGTCTTTTGAAAAGTACCTGAGCTATATCACCCTCATTGTCTTCCACTCTGATATTGCCATCAGGTTTCGGTATATGCCAAAAACAATTAGCCAGGTATCCCAGAAGGGTTGTAGAAAAACATAAGATGGAACTAATCATTAACTTGACTCACTGGGAATATAAGAGAATTTGCTCTGGAGTTGGGTGATTCTCTGCCCTCACTCACGTGGTGCCTGATTTGTGTCGCCACCAGGGGTTGCTCTAGTGGTGAAGTGTTCTTCATTCACAGGGTGTCTTTCTTCTATAGAGCTATAGGTGCTTCATTAAATTGCATTGTGTTCAACTCAAGCACTCCCCTTCAGTTAACAGATAGTCTTATCCGCCACATCAGATATGGAGCAACTGAGCCATAAAGCAGTAAAACAAGTAGCACATGGGGACAGAATTGAGACTCCAGGCTCTTGAGTCCCAATTCTCTTTGCAATATCCTCAACATTCCTTGATATTTCTAACCCATTCTCCCTTTTAATAAGCATTTTAAAAATAATACATACTCTGCTACACCACTGCAGAGGGAATTTCCCACCTTCAAGCCTGCCCCTCCTCCCCTTCTAAGCAACACTGATATTTAGAAGACTGATATCTCTCCCTGCCAAGAAGATTTGTTGTTGCACTTTACTTTCTATAACTTACAATATGAAAACAAAGGTTTTTTATTTTCTAAATATAAAAATATATTACAATACTGAACATAACACTAGCAAACCCTTAGTGCCTTTCATTAATATCTGCCTACCACCCCCACTGAGAATTATTGTAGTAAACTAAACGGCTCTGTTGTTAGCCTGTTTGTGTAAATTTAATCCAGAACAAATAAAAAAGAATTGTGTTAGACTAAAAAGGGGGAATATTTAAGTAACGTATTGACACTATTGAGACAGACAACTTGTTAAAAATAAATGAGGATGGGGAATTGACAAGGATCGGCTCCTCCCAAAACCTGGAGGTATACTTCTTCTTCAGATTTAGTGCTGAATGATTATGGTCAATTTATTCCTCTGCTTCTAAAATTGTTATTTTATTTTAGCATTTTTCTGGGTTTCTGAAGCATATTGCTTTGACAAACAGAGCAATCCGAACTGGTTATGCCTTGGCTTTAGAGCCATTGTTGGGATGTCGGTATTTTGACAGCTACAGCCAGCTGGCATGAATCCTCAGTGGAGAGCCCAGATGTGGAGCCAGGGACTCAGCATCCTGATCAAACCTCTCAACATTTCTCTGTGTTTCAAAGCATCTTCTAAATCCTATCCAAGTGACATGACATAAAATTGAACATGGAATGTTCACAGGCACCTAAAAACTCCCAAATGGAGGATATGAGGAAAAAACTAAAATTAGAACTTGGTTTCAGTTTGAACCTGCTTAATCTCAGTCTCACCTAAGCCTTACAGCAATAAATATACTTGTCTATAACCCATGACATGTAAAAGTACAGCTGGCATTCACATTGACGAGTGACTAGATCCTTAGCTGCAAATTGGTGGAATTTTTTTTCACTCTCTAACTTAGGATCCACCAATGTCTCTATGATTAAAAGCTTGTATTATAATGATACCATTTAATTTATTTTTTATTTATTTAAAGCTAAATACCACGATAACATTTTCTGAAGAATTACTTGAAATAGATCTGTTCATCAAAATTGCACAGTATGTATTCTACACATTATACATTCATGATAGAATCAAAATTAAAATTGAAGAACCTCTTTCTCCTGCCCTTTTTGATTGTGACAGTGGTCTCAATGAAAGGGCAGACTCATTCACATAAACTAAAGGGCATTGAATGATTTTAAACTTCTATGCATATTACATAAGATATAGGATGTGTATAAATTAGTAATGCACAAGACTAATTCCTATCCATGAACCAATACTTGTGGCTGTTTTACTCATACTTTCCTCAGATTAGTAGCATACCAAGAACTCTATATACATCTCATGGCAGATGACAGTAAATCTTATTCGTCTCCTTGGATTTGTTTCTCACTATAAAATATAGTAATTATGATGGAGGAAGGAAAAAGGGTGGGCAGAGCTAGAGGCTAATGAAACCAACGTTTTAAGTAGTTCAAATGGTCATCTTTAATGCTTAAAATTATTAAACTACAGATATTTCAATAAGTGACTACAGAGACCAGTACTTTTCAAGTCTCATAGTATTCATAAAAACTATACAATCAGACCAGAATAAATTTTCAAATAGGTTTCTGAATAAAATTGTTCAATTATTTATTTTTACAAAGGGAGGTAAGGAAAGGGAAGAAATGCAGCGTGGTATGTTTTCATGAATTTGATTGTAATTTGCTAGGCTGGTGACCTATAGGAACCACACATGGATAGCTCAATACGTGTGAAAGTTACACAAGGCTGGAGGGTTGAACATTCATTAAAAGACTGTATTCAGTCTTGAAAATTGAGTTTAAATGCTTAACACTCATGGGTTTCTATCATCGTGACATTAATGCAAATTAAATTTAAAATGTCACCACAATCCCTTTTTTGCAACTTGAAGACTTCTCTTCATTTCCTTCTTTCAAATATGCACCATTTTACTCATAGGGCTTCTGCTTGACATGGTCTCCGAGCCAGGCTACCTAGTTTGGCCCACCCTGTTCACTTGGGTCTTGGAAAGATGAATATGCCAGCCCACAAATGTCCTTTCTACAGAAAACCTCTATTGACTTCTACCCAGCAACCATCTACATAAACAACCCCTTCTATTGATCTTGTATGTTATGGTAATGCTACATTAGCATTTATTTCTCTAGATACATACTGAAACAGTAATTTCTCTTAAGCTAATGATTACCTGGTAATGCTGAATCAATCTGAAAAGTGTATTTCTAGGACAGCTTCAGAAAATCTGGTGCGAGTTCCCCTTTGCACAGCGAGCATTTCTCACAGCCTCAGGCTCATGAATGGTTACCTGAGATTTTGAAACAAGGAGACAGACACAAACAACGTCGGAAGAGTCAAGACTGCACTGACTTGAACTGGTTATCAAGTCAGGAGAAAGCATGTGGCAGGAGGACGCTATGTAAGACATTTGAGGTGGGGTTGACCTGGACCAGAAAAACAGATAAGCCTTCAAAGGCACAGTTAATTTAATGTTCTCCAGATTTAATTTTAAACATGAGGAATCTTAACTGTCCTAAGAAATTTGGAAATAACTGAATAACTGATCTCACCAGTTATTTACTGGAAGTGTATTTTTGGGAGATTATCAGTAGGTTGATTTTTTTTTTTTTAAATCAGAGTCAGATATCCTTAATTTGTTTTTAAATGCCAGATTTTGTATAATTTCAGGAAATATTCTCTCTAAAGTAACAATCCAGCAGTTAACTCAAAACAGACTAACTTAAGCATTCTCTGGAATACACACTATGTCTCACAAGATTTGAAATAGACAAACAGTACTCTTTCTTTGAAGACAGTTTTTCTTTAAAGGGCCATGTTTCACTGCACCTTTTCTACATGGATGTATGCTTACAGATCTCATCATCTTCTATATTTAGAGAGATGAGCTTTCCAAAGGAAGACAGGCAGCCAATGAGGAGGATCCCATCAAAAGAGAGGTGAGTTACTATGGTTACTTTTCAGGAGGTTGAGTAACAGTGAACGGCTGCTCCCGGCCAAATGGACCCTTTCCAGAGCAGGACCTAAAAACAATGCTGCTCTCCATACGTGTTGATTCAATTAGTCGAGACTACACCATGTCATTTTAGCCTTAACGGCAGGCTTTCTATGGGTGCCCACTGCTTCCAGCTCTCCCAGCGCACATAACCAGCGAAGTCAAAGGAAAAACAAGGACTGAAAACTTCCGAACACAAACCTAACAGCGACGGACAGGGGAATCCTCAAGAACCAATGCCAAGATTTTTTAAAAAATCAAATCAGGTTATTTAGAACCACCAGCTGGCCACTTTTCAATGGCTGGGGGCGGGGTGCGATCCCAGAACACGTCCCTACCCTCAGCCTCAACGAAACGAGTCTCTTCTGAGCCTCAGAGGAAGGCACCTGGCTGGAGCAGTCCAGACGTACCTTGCGAGCTGGGTCCACTCGCCAGGAGATCGGCGCATACACCTGTTTGGTAAAGGCGCGGGGTTCGATGCTCCCTCCTGCTTTTGCGGCGCTGTCACTCTTCAGACGGGCACTGACAGCGACAGCGGTGGCGGCGCGACAGCGGCAGCAGCGGCAACTGCAGCTCGGCGGCCAGCCCTGGCTCCTGCAGGTCCGTCCCTCCAGTCTCTGAAGCGCCTCTCGCTCCGGCTTCGGAACGCGAGGCGGGCGCGCAGCTGTGCTCGGCTCGCATTGGACCAGAGGGAGCAGATGTTACCCGGTTGCTAGGAGCGTTGCTAGGAGGCGATGACGCCCCTCCACCTCTCCGGAGCAACTTTCCTGTAGGTTGGGTGCGCTGGGGGGCTGCTGGGAGCAAGGTTTGAGAGCAGGACCGAGGAGGGGCGGCGAACAAAGAGCCCCAAACAGGGGGATCCTGTGCTCGCCTAAGTTGGGTCCCGGAGAGCAGGCTGGCGAGCTGCGGGCGGCTGAGGGCCGCAGCTCCGCGCCCGGCGTCTGGCCCTGCTCCCGCGGGCGTGGGCAGGTGACGCGGGCCGCGCCTCCCGGGGCAGCCTCCCTCGCTGTGGGCCCTAGCTGGGTGCCCCTGTGGGGGTCAGGTCTGGGGAAGGGAGTGGAGCGGCACTTTCAGCGGCTGAGGAAGCAGAGGGACTTGGTGACTTGTAGACACCGAGACTTCCGCCGGGATGCTCTTTGCCTTGGGGAGGACCCTGGCAAGGGGAGAGACGAGGAGTGTGCGTGTGACCTGGGGCGGGGCGTGTGGGATGAGGAGTATAGGACCTTCTGCCTTCTGGGACTCTCCTCCCCAGGCGTATTCCTGTTTGTGTCTGCAGGTTTGAGCAGTTGATAGATTTTGAAGAGGGAAATACTAACTAATCCATGAGGATCCGACCAGAATCTAGTTCTTTTTGGCGCTGTGGCTGCCTACTGGCATGGTGCCAAAGATTTCACAAAACTGTCCTTGTAGTCTAAAATACTTCCTTTACACAGTTAGAAAGTCTTCATTTTGATCCAATGGCTAATTAAAGCCTCAGGCTAATATGCAAACTTCTTTAAAATAAAAATACACAGGGCCGTCTGAGGCTAAGCGGTTAAGTGCTGGCGCTCCGCTACCAGCGGCCCGGGTTCGGATCCCCTCCGCACACTGTCGCTTGTCTGGCCATGCTGAGGCCGCGTCCCACATATAGCAACTAGAAGGATGCACAACTATGACATACAACTATCTACTGGGGCTTTGGGGGAAAAAAAAAAAGGAGGAGAATTGGCAATAGATGTTAGCTCAGAGCTGGTCTTCCTCAGCAAAAAGAGGAGGATTAGCATGGATGTTAGCTCAGGGCTGATCTTCCTCACACACACACACACAAAATATATATATATGTATATATATATATACACACACACACTCACAAAAGGTACTTTTCACAAAGGAGACTGGAGAAAATATGCATATTTCAGTCATTTACACTTTAGTATAAATTACCCAAAAGATTGTATCATCTCTGATCTCTCACTCAAGCTACATTGTTATTTCTTACCATTGCTTTTTGTTGTAGTTGTTGTTCAATGGGGTTGTTATTCTTGGGTGGGGAGGATAATGAGAGCATCAAAGTGGACAAATTTGGGGAGCCAGTGAGCCAAATTAAAGATGGGAAAATCACAAATCTAGCAGAGAAATTTTGCTCAAAGCTATCCTCAGAGAGGAAATTTCATTGAAGTAGGAGATACATCACTTCCCCAGTTCCCTATAGGGTCAAGCCAGGGCCTGGAAGTAAGAGAGCACCCCTGGGAATCAATTAAAAAGAAAAATTGCTGTCTTTGGAACCAGGGCAGGGCTGCAGTGCAGTGTCATGTTGACTCCTGCAATGGCAGACATTCTGCAAGGCTGAAGGGGCTACACGGAGTGGCCCTACAAATCTCAGGGGCCCTGCTCCCTCAGGCACCCAGGACCATCTTAACACCTAGGACAAATCTTAGAGTTAACAGTTTGTTAGCCCTAAAATTTAAACCTTGTGTTTAATATAACCTTGATAACCTTGTGTTTATTAACTAAATTGTGGGAATCCTTTCACTATGTATATATGTATCAAATCATCAGGTTGTACACTTTAAATATCTTACAATTTTATTTGTCAATTATCCCTCAATAAAGCTGGAGAGAAAAGCTGGTAACTTAAAATCTAATTCTCTGGAAGAAGTAATAACAAGCCAAAGTGGGTTGAAGATCTGATGATAAAATTTCAGCTTTAAGGTCTGAAAGAGGGCTTTGAGCCCGGTACCCCTCAAATCTGGGAGATGGCCACAGCCAGCATTACACCACTGCTACTGCCTTCTTAATCGCAGTCAGGGAGGAAAGGAGCTGGCATCCAGCTTTGCCATCCTGCCCCGCTCATCTCAGGAGGCTCTCCCCTTTGCTCTTCATGGTCCAGTCTCAGTGGACTCGTTTCCCTTTCCTTGAAGGGTGAAGGTTCTCATTTGTCTCAGGTGTTTTGTACATGCTGTTTCTTCTTCCTTAACGTGCCTCCCCTTCACCTGGCTTACTCCTACTCAGCCTTCAAGTCTCAGCTTAAATACCACTTCCTCACAGCGGCTTTCCCTTACAGCCTCCCATCGGCTAGATTAGCCTCCTAATTACACTCCCAAATCACCCTACTGATCCCATTTCACGATATTCATCACACTGGGTTTTCAGCTAGTTCTGCCTTGTTATCACTGTGTCCTCAGCTCCTAGCACACCGTGCCTGGTACATCAAAGGTAATCGAGCACACATGAAGGGATCGAGCCACCCACTTGGCTGGAGGTCCCTGTTTTCACCTTAGCTATGCAGCTGTCATTGAGTGAACTTACACAAGCCGTGAGGGCAGCCACTCGTTGCTGTCCTTTCAGTTAAGTAAAGGAGAGGGAAAAAGCCCATTACACAGAAAATATTCTGCCCTTAATGAGATATTGTGGGGATATAGCAACTTCTTTTCCTTCTCAAAGCATCTTATAAAGGTTGCTACCTGGATTTTAATGGCCTTGGGAAATAACCTAAAAGTCCTTTCTATATCTTCCTAATTCTTTTCTGTGTCTTCCAAAGTAGGTGTGAGTCCTCTGAGCTGATGTTTCATCTTTCCTTGAAATACTCCTCTACCTCGGGTGAAAAGCAGCCTCCATCATCATGTGCTGTATCTCTACAAAGCAAAACAAAAATCTGTTTGGGAAACAGCTAGCTAACTTGACCAATATGGACAGTACTTTTAGTAAACTTTATCAGAATAGACCAGGAAATCTTTTCTGATGTCAATATAACTCACCAAATAATTGCCAAATCCCTTCTTCATCTGGGACCGCCTCAAGAAAAATAACAGATGTTAGAAGACATGAAGGAAAGGTCAAGGTAATCTCAAGATCACAGAGTTGGTTGGTGGCAGAAATAGAACACAGGTATAAGAGTTTAATCTTTATTTATGTCTGCAGATGTAATTTGATAAATTCTTCAATTCTCCTGGCAAGTGATTAGAGCAAATCTTTGACTAAATAATTTTGGATTTTAAAATTAAATATTAAAATACCATACAATCCGCCTTAGAATTCATCTAAATTCTAATCTTCTCACCACTGAATCTTGTCCCTCCTCGAGATGACCACAGACATAATGCTAATCCTGTCTCCTATTATCTGTTTGCTGAAAAGAATGAGATGTTTTATTATGTAGTAGAACGCACCTTAAAATTCATCAGAGCTCTGAATTGTCACCGAAACTTCCTTGAACCATGACTCTGAATCTGCCTGAAGAAACCCTAGGAAAACTGGAAAGAGACTATGAAGTTTATAAGACATAAAATGTGGTTTGATTCACCCATAAAATGTTACTCAAGATGGTGAAGATTTTTTAAAAATTACTACAAAAGACTTTCAGAACCAGAGTTGTAGATGGCTGTCTCAGTTATTTCAACATTTAAGGATGGGTAAGTCTCTGCTGAAGCAATGTCAGAAGATAGCAATCATTTGTCAAGTTTTAGGTTCTGCACATGCTTACTCTAAGATTAATACACCAAAAAATCTGTTCCCTCTGCAATATTTTGCATTTGCTCATAATTTTATATTGTTTACTTTGGTGTTTTTAACATGTCACCTGTATACATATTTACTAGTGCACATACACACGTAGACATGCTCAACCTTGCTCAGGCTATTAGCTCAAAACTCTTTGTCCTGTGGCTTTGAAAATGTGAAGTCAAATAATCTTTATTGGCAACAGCCACCCCCACCCCGCGCCCCCGAACAGTGCTGATATGCTCTAAGATGACTAGAGTGAACAAGTCGAATCCTGAGTCAGCCCATAATGTTCTAGTGCCACCATGGGTTAGGAAGAACTTAAGCAACAAATCGGCTTGCAGTTAGCAAGCTTTTCTTAAGTAATCACCACTACCACAGCACTTGAAATAAGATAATTTTTTTAAAAAAGAAAAATATGCAAGTGTCCTAGATAGTGTCTTTACGATTCTCACCAAACTGATTCCTTTTCCCATACACACAAATAAACTACAATTCCCAGCCTTCTTAAATATAGGTGGAGCCATGTGACTACTTCTGGCCAACGGAGTTCGGACAGAAATGGAGATTGCCACCTCTACGCCTGGCCCCCCAACCGTACATTTGATTCTCATGCCTGGTCTTCCTTCTCCAGTTGCAGAACAAAATATTCTTTCCGAGTCCCTAGGAGCTCTGCGATAGCCCTCAAACCCCTGGGATGCTGCTAAGAAAGCAAGCTGCATGACCAAAAACATCTTAGAATAGATAGAAATAAACCTTTCTTATGCTAACTCACTGACATTATAGTTGTCTATTATAACAGGTAGTACTAATTACCTCAACTAACAGTATGCAAAATGGTACAATAGATTTTCCCTGAAACATCTATAGAACTTCTTTTCTATTTTCTTTGTTTATTTTGGGGATGTCAGCCATGTTTTTACTACTACGGAGGAGTCTGATCATAACAGCTCTGTTCCTTCTCCTACTAGCTTGCTGCATCTGAGCCTCATAAACTTATTAGAACTCGGTACACACAGAGAGCGTAGAGGCCTCCGGACAAGAGCCTCTCTGATGAGAAATTACCTACGCTTTTGTACATGAATATCTACATTTTTGCCTTCTCAGAATCCTCTTCAGATGTCATTTTGTTATTTCAGGTGATCTTTACGTCTATATAGTTCCTTACTTATCCAATATCCTTATTTTAAATTCAACACTTTAAACTAGAATTTGAGTTGATTTGTACATGTGTCCACCATAAAAGTCTATGGCACCCTAAAACCAAAATAAATTATATGGATCATAAATGTAATGCTTATAGTTCTAATATATATGTCTGCAGTTGTTATGGTTTTGGAATTAATGGTTTTTGTGTC